TGGACCCGCTGTCTCCACGGTTTTACTCCTCGGTGAACTTAGTTCTACGTTGGATCTTCAACACATTCACTCCGTGGATTCAGCGGTGTCTTCGTCCCGTTTCACCCGCTGCTGGCAGCGAGATCACGGTCAGATCTCCTCCGCGCGCTCCCTCCTCCTGAACACAGTGGTTCTGTTAGGGACCGTCAACAAATTACCGAACGAGTGACACAAGAAAAACAAAACAATCAGCCTACACGTCATGTGAAACTCTGAACAAAAGTGCATCTTTTCTTCTTATATAAGTTATATATATATATATATATATATATATATATATATATATATTTTTTTTTTTCAGTAGCATTCCTCTCCTGTGACCTGATTAATCAAAATGATGCGGAATTGTTTTACTATATTGGACAAAAAATACACAAAGAATTTGAATACATTTCATGGCTTCTTCTGTTTTATAGCAGTCAGTATACTGGTCTTGTAATCCTGAGTTTGCAGGTTCAAACCCAGGTTGTGTCAGGAAAGGCATTCGGAGTAAAACAATAGCCAAATCTTTCATAACTCGCTATGGCAACCTCTGAAGAAGAGAGTAGCTCAAAGAAATGTATTTATTGTAATATTAAACAAATGTAGACTTTTCGTAATTAAAGCAGGGCTTCATTTGATCCGGATCCTGCTGGAACAGGATCCAGGAACTCTCTTTTATTTTGACAGGGTGCGTTCCGGTAACTGTTTGATCGGATCCGGTAACTCTCTTGCTTACTAATAAAGTTATGAACAAATTTGACTGCTTTGAACAAATAGAGCTTTAGAACGTGACGTCACTGTGTCTGCGGAGGGCATGAGGAACACACGAGAATCAAAACAAAACCGACAGGATCAAAGCCTGGGATCTAAACTAAACACACGGGAAACACAGAAATGTCCAGACGGCCAGGAGATCATCCCAAGGCTGGTCAGACATCAGGGTCAGTGTTGCCAGATCTCGCGATAGAAACAATCAACCAGCTCCATGAAAACAAGCCCAAACAAGCCCAACTGGCAACCCACCATATTGTGTAAAACAGAGGCCATTTTTAAACAGTATAAACATACATTTATTATGGTATTACATATAAACAGCAAAATGATACTAAACACTTTGAATAACATACTTTTACGCTCTAAAAAGAATACATTTTGCATTTGTCACATTAATTCAACCGTTATTTATACAAATTAATCCCACTAAGCCTCTGGGACTCATTTACCAGAGAGACCTGAATTTTAAACTAAGAGTGATGACCACAATGGGTCAGGTGGGCAGCCGTCAACACAGGGCCAAAGTTTAGGTGGCTGGCCGAAGGAGACGGACGCCCTAAGAACCCATGAGTTCCCCTGCACCGGGAGTGAGAAGTGGGAGGACCGTGGTCTCTGCAGGTGATGGAGGAGACGCTGCTGCAGAGGGTGTCAGCACTTCAGCTACTGCAGCGGACTTAAGGACCTCTGCAGAGGACTCAATGTCGGAACTCAGGAACGTGGAACTTTCAGGAACAGATGTGGAACTCAGGAACGTGGAACCTTCTGCAGACTCGGGACTTCCTGCAGATTTTGAACATCCTGCAAACGCCAAGCCCATTAGTCCCAGAGGTGGGTGGGGGCTCGGGTACATCCCCTCCCTGCGCACAAGAAGCTCCCAGATTCTACAGCTGTGTCAACATGTACAGGGACCACAACACACTTTTACTTTTATAAAACACTTTTATAGAACAGTCAAGTGATTAAATGTATTTTCTCATCATGTTTGCATTTTACATGTCATGATGATAGGAGAGGCATAGTCTCACCTGACTACACGTCACTTAAGAAGACAAAGGAGATGGTTGTGGACTTCAGAAGGAACAACCCACATCCCCTCTGAACATAGGAGGATCTGCAGTGGAAGTAGTCTCCAGCTAAAAGTATTTGGGTGTGCACCTGAATGTCAACCTCAGCTGGAGCAACAACACCACCAGCCTGATCAAGAAAGCTCATCAGAGACTCTACTTCCTCAGGCGGCTGAGACGAGCTGGTCTGGGAAGCTCAGTCCTCACCTCCTTCTACAGGTGTGCAGTGGAGAGCATCCTGTGCTCCAGCGTCAACGTGTGGTATGGAGACTGCACAGCTGCAGAAAGAAAAGCTTTGCAGAGAGTGGTGAAGGCTGCACAGAAGTCTGTTGGAGTCAGTCTCCCCACCATCACAGACATTTACACCTCCAGATGCAGGAAGAGGGCCACCTACATCATGAAGGACCCCGCTCACCCAGCACACACACTTTTTCCCCAACTCCCCTCAGGAAGCATTAAGTTTAGAACCACTAGACTGAGGAACAGCTTCTACCCTGAGGCAGTTAGACTCATTAATCTCTAATCATGTTGCTGCTGATCTGTTTCATGTTGCTGTGTTCATTCGTACTCGTCTACTCACAGACTCATGTTCGTGCTGCCGTTCAGCGTATCGTGTTCATTGTTTTTATGCTGTTAGTGCTTAGCGTATTTTTAGTTGATCCAACAGTTTTCAGTCAGATCATCTGGACAATTTCTTTTTTTATTGTGTGCTGAAACATTTCGCCTTCGGTCCAGAAGGCTTCATCAGTCGAGGAAACACACAACAAAACTGATTCTTCTCCCAACAGCTTACTCCAAAGTGGAACAAACCAGTTCTGCTTGTGATAAGATGATCTCTTTGGTACGCCCCCTCCTCCATTGCCGGCCCTCTTCCTTGTTGACAGTCTTGTCAAACTGGTTGAAAACAAACAAAGAAACTGTCCAGATGACCTCACTGAAAAATGTTGGATTGTATACCTGGATTATTGAGCATGGACTTTGTTATTTTTAGTTGATTTTTTTTAGTTCATATCTTAGATCTTATTACTGTTTTTCTTTTACATTTTATTGTTGGATATAACTGGGACTGTGTACACAATTTCGCTCCACCAGATGTACCACATGTGGTGCGAATGACAATAAAGAATCTAAATAATTTGAAGCTGAAAAGTAAAAAAAAAACCAGTTTGTCCAGTTATTAGAACATTTATTGATTAGTACTGATTAGTCTCTTCAGAATGATTTGTTCAATTAGCTTTGTAGAGATCTAGTAGTGCTGTATGAATGGGTAAATGAGGTCACAGATTGTAGTGTAAAGTGCTTCGAGTATCTCGATAAGATAGAAATGAGCTATATAAATACGGTTCATATCATTGATTGATGTGGAAAACATCAGGGAAACTACAACTTGGTCCAAAAAAAAAAAAAAAAATCAGTTCCTTCTCTGAACAGATGTTCATACCCAAGGTGTCAGTATAAACATATTCCTTTAGGTTTTATGGTTTAATAACTTGAACAATTTACACTCAGCTACAGTTTAAATTATTTTATTCCAGGCTCAAATTTTGACAAGAACGAGGCAGTGTGCCTAAACTTTATCTGACACCATAAAAACATGGTGTGTTTTAGAAACAAGACTTGAATACTGAAGAGCAAACTTTAAAATATTTAGTTGAATTCTTTATCGCCAACAAACAGCATCATCACCAACAAGTTTAAATTATTAAACTTAAATTTGTAACAATATTCAGACTCAGGTTTCTGTGGAAAAATGATATCAGATTACAAATGTAGATGTGAAGAAGGGCGATACTTCCTCCTCACTTTACTACACTTAATTTTGCACTCGTTAAACCAGAGCACCAGGTCAGTTTACTGACCAATAACAGGTTAATTAATTTATTCACCCTCTAATAGTCAGAACTCAGTCACTGAAGTAGAGTTTGTTATTTACAGGGAATTCTGCACCAGAACAAGTAAATATTCACCCAAATGAAAAGACCGAACTGTCTTTGAAGTTTAATTACAAATATCAAAAACAAAACATGAACAATAACAAAGAATAAGAAGTTGAATAATAAACAAGTTGAGGAAATAGTTGTTGAATTAATACTTGGACTTGATTAAGCAATGATTCATCGAGGCATATTTCTCTTATCTAAAACAAAATAATTCTTAAGAACAGAATTTATTTATCTTTTATACATGCAACAATTTAGATGAAGTTGAACCATTTGATAGTTTTACTTTACAATTTGGATGAGAGATATTATTTAATTTAATCAGATTTTGTAATTTCTTAACACAGCAAGCAAGGAAATTATATTTCATCAAGTCGAATTAGCTTGAACTGTAAAAACCAGACCCAGTATTGCGTTGATGTTCTCACCAGATTATCGTCTCCTTTCTGGATCAAGTGGGGAACTACAGCCGACGATTGCTCTGTCTTTTCAGGACTTTGGAGGCTGATCGAGTCTCTACAAGTCTACACAGGAAACAGGTTACGGTTCAGGGGGTCCTGGTAGGATCGTGCCAGAAGGTGGCCGAGGTGAGACGTTAACAGGGCCGACAGAAAAACAGCTGATGAGAATAGTCAGCAGGTGATAAGCAGTCCGAAGCTTATGAAGCTGCGAAACCTTACAGTGAAAAAAAGAAGGGAAAAAAAAAAACCATTTTATCTTCCATAATTACTGTATCGCTTTTTAGTTGGCTTTGACAAAAATTGTTCCTGAGCAGAACTTGATCTTTTCTCAGGAGTAATGAAGACGAAAAAACACACCAGGAGATGGAAAAACAGAGGAACACTGAACACGTCTCACAAAAGTTCTGCTTTTGTGAGACTCTCAGCTCCAAGGACAGTCCTGGAATTTCCAGACTGTTCTGACTTTGTCTGATGTTCAAGAATTAATTTCTGCCTCCAGAACTCTACAGAGTTGTGGCGACTCTTAAACGGAGTTCTTTCTGAAAACAAAGCAGTGAAAATATGTTCAATCATGTAACATTTCACATGATTTCATAATAATTGAAAACAGTAATGAACATTATTCATGTTTTAAACATGTCAAATTCATTTATCAAACGCTTAAAATAAATGTGTAAGCATTTATGAATCTGTAAGTGATCAAGTGTCCAGGATAATAAATGTATAGAAATAATCAGTCGTTATTCAGGTCAAAAGTAACTAAAGAAACCAGTTCAGGATGGTTATGATGGGTGAACTCAGGGTCAGAGGTCATGGTCAGGAGAGATCATCTTCATGTTACACTGTCAAATACTGGAAAATAAATTTTGACCTTTCAGTTTAGAGTTGTTTGGTTTAATGGCAGTGAGGGACATCTAACTTTGCTTCTTGTTAGTTCGATGTCCGCAATTCTCACATTTAAATGGCTTCTGTGCTTTATGGAGATTCATGTGTCCTTCTAAACTGTATTTATAGCCAAATCTTTGTCCACAAATCTCACATACAAACAGTCTCTCTCCTGTGTGAACTCTCATGTGTTTGTGTTTTAGTGATATAGACTCATAAAAAATAACATAAATATCCTGGCATCATGCAGCCTTCCCAACATAAACTACACTGTGATAAAAAAAAACAACCCATAAAATCATTTTAGTCAGTTTTGTCAACCTGCATGTAATTATTAAAACAAAATAATTTACTGGTTCCTTCCTTCTTTCACCTTTTCACTCTCTATACTTTGACTGTCGACTCATCTCTAGCTTCAGAGCGATGCTGCACCGTAGCAGCTTGACAGGCAGGAGATGGCAGTGTTGGCTTTTCAAAATAAAGTAAATTTTAACGTTTCATGACATTTAAATTTATTTCAATTCTATATAAACCTTTATTCTGAAGGTGTGGTGGCCTGAATGTTACTGTGGCGGTGCGCCACGAAAATTTACATGTACAGGAAACCCTGTAGACTGAAGTCTTAAAGTTTTACTTCTGAAGAAGAAGATAAGGAGTGCCCAATTAGGTTCCTGTGGACTTTTGTGTGTGTTTAAATAAATCTAAATGGCCAGATCTTTGTCAACAATCCTCAAAATCAAATGGTATCTGTCCTGTGTGGACAGTCATGTGTAAGTTTAAAGTTAGCTCATGGCTGAACCTTTGTCCACAAAGCTCACATTTAAGTAGTTTCTGTCCAGTATGGACGCTCATGTGAAAGTTTAAATCTGTCGTTTGCGTAAATCTTTCTTCACAAAACTCACATTTATATGGTTTTTCCTTTGTGTGGATTCTCATATGTGAGTTTAAACAAGTGTTGTTGATATATCTCTTTCCACAATCCTGACATTTATATGGTTTACAGCCTTTGAGAATAGTGATGTGTCTTTTTAAATATGACTTATGGCTAAATCTCCGTTTACAATTCTGACATTCATAAGATTCCTGTCCTTTGTGGAGATTCATGTGTCCGTTTAAAAGGTGTTTAAGGCTAAATCTTTGGCCACAAATCTCACATACAAATAGTTTTGCTTGTGTGTGGATTTTCATATGCGAGTTTAAACTTGACTTATGGCGAAATTTCTGTCCACAATTCTGACATTCATAAGGTTTCTGTCCTGTGTGGACTCTCATGTGTGACTTTAAACCTGACTTCTGGCTAAATCTCTGTCCACAATTTTGACATTCATAAGGTTTCTGTCCAGTGTGGACACTCATGTGTGAGTTTAAACTTGACTTATGGCTAAATCTATGTCCACAATTCTGACATTCATAAGGTTTCTGTCCAGTATGGACTCTCGTGTGTGTTGTTAAATTACTCCTGAAGGTATACCTCTGTCCACACTCCTCACATTTATGTGGTTTATATCCTGTGTGAATCCTGATGTGTTCGTTTAAACTTTGCTTCTGGTTAGTTCGATGTCCGCAAATCTCACATTTAAATGGCTTCTGTGCTTTATGGAGATTCATGTGTCCTTTTAAACTGTATTTATAGCCAAATCTTTGTCCACAAATCTCACATACAAACAGTCTCTCTCCTGTGTGAACTCTCATGTGTTTGTTTAAATTTGTTTTAAGGCTAAATCTTTTTTCACAAACCTCACATTCAAATGGTTTCTCTCCAGTGTGGATTCTCATGTGTGGTTTTAAACTTTCTTTTCTGGTAAATCTTTTACCACATTGATCACAACTAAATGATTTTGGTCCTGTCTGGACGTTCCTGTGTGTATCTACACTTTTCTTCTTTCTGACACTTTTCTTCTGACCCAAACAGCTTGAACGTCTTCCTGTTGAATGACATGTCATGTGTCTCTGAAGAGACCGTTTGTGCAGAAATTGTTTACCACACTCAGAGCAGCTGAAACATTTGTTGACAGAGTTTACAGCTGAATCAGGAGCTCTGCTCTCCTTGCAGTCTTTGTCACTGTCTTCAGTTGTTGACCCAGTGTCTGACAAGTGTTCCAGCTGAGAGTCAGGATTGTTCCCATCCTCGTCCTCTTCATCATCCTCACTGACTTCAGTTTCTGAAGAGCTGGAAGCATCTTCATGAAGATTTAAATCTGGGCACCTGCTGGTTTCTGCTCCTCCACAGTCCTCTCCATCAGCTTCTACTTTCATCTGGTCAGCTGAGCTGCTGGTTGGAACATCTCTGTCCTCCCTTTGATGTTGATGAAGTTGTGAGAAAAGAGGCTTCTCTTCATCATCCTCACTCTTCAGAGGAACTGTGGTGAATGAAAACCTGCTGGCATCAGTCTCCTCCTTCATGTTGAGCTGATCTCCCTCTAATCTGGTCCAGAGTTCCTCCTCTTCCTCCTTTATGTGGAGGGGCTCTGGATTCTGCTGATGAAGCTGTGAGAACAGAAGCTTCTCTTCGTCATCCTCAGTCTTCACATGAACTGCAGTGAATGAAAACCTGCTGGCATCAGTCTCCTCCTTCACATTGAACTTCTCTCCCTCCAATTGGGTCCAGAGTTCCTCCTCTTCTTCCTTGATGTGGAGGTGTTCTGGGTCCTGCTGGTCCACATCAGGTCTCCATTCCTCAGGAGCATCTCCTCTGATCAGCAGAGTCTGCTGAACATCTGCAGGGAACACTGAAACACAGACAATATTAATTTTTATTCATTCATTTAAAAGAAACAAAATAAACAAAACAAATTCCATCCATCCATTATCTTTTACCCGCTTCTTCCAATTTGGGTCACAGGGGTTGCCGGTGCCCATGTGCAGCAATCACAGTGCGAGGTACACCCTGGACAGGTCGCAAGTCCATCACAGGGACACACAGAGACAAACAAGACAAACATTCACTCTCTCACTCACACCTAGGGACAATTTAAGAGTTACCAATCAGCCTAACATGCATGTTTTTGGTCTGTGGGAGGAAACCAGAGTACCCAGAGAAAACCTACACATGCACGGAGAGCATGTGTAGGTTTATAACATGCAAACTCCATCCAGAAATGCCCCCGGACCGGGATTTGAACCAGGGACCTGCTCGCTGAGAGGCAGCAGCTCTACCAGTTGCGCCACCGTGCTGCCACAAAACAAAATTAATCACAAAAAAAAAACAACATTGAATTAAAAGGGTGCAAAAAAAAAAGAAACAAAATTCTTATAATAAATATAATAATATGGACTGAATATAACTTTATAACTCATATAATATAACTCATACATCACCTGTGTTGATGATTTATGTTCTGTGGATCAGAACTGCTCCAAGTCAAAGGAACAACATTTTATTCAGTAAGAGACAATCAAATGTCTGTTTATCATTAAAAAATATCAAAAATGTTTAAATACAATCACCTGATATGGGTATTTTAACATATTTGTTTAACTTTCAATTTTACTTTATCCAAGTACACAAATTAGAGCTGGGCGATATCTTGGATATTTTAAAATTATCAATTTAAATTTTTTTTTGCAATATAAGATGAGACTATTTTGATATAAACTATATTATTAGAAATGGGGCCGATTCGATCCAGTATCGGGCTCCAATACCAGCATAATTTATGCATTGGATTTTTCAAATTCACCCTGCAGAGATTTCCGATCCATGATGCATGTCTGTCTGCTGAAACGTCTCCACGTGATTCCCTAACGGCTACTCTGCAAGTTGGCTTCAAACTATGGAATGGATTTCCTGAACGGAGGCGTCTCATGAAACCCAGAGTAATAAGACCCGCCTCACATTCAGGAAATCCATTTCATAGTTTGCAGTAGGGGTGGGCAATATGGCTCAAATATAATATAGTGATATTTCAGAGCATTCTGACGATAACGATAAATTTCGTGATATAACAACAAAAAAAAACCCAACAGAAATAGTTATTTATTTGACAAAATTAACTTAAAATGTTGCTTTGCAGTATTATATAAAATGAAAAAAACAAGGGGTAATTTTACAGAAATTACTTTATTTAGTAAAGTATTCAGTCTCCAAGTATAAAAATAAAAAAGATCCTTCTGTTATTTAGATTGAAAAAGTCTGCACAAAATACAGATCAATAAATCCACCACAAAAACTCAAGTGCAGGTGAAGTTTCCCAAAATAACTAAATAAAATAAAATGAAGCTTAAGATCTGTTGAGTATAAATGTAACGTACAACAAAATATATGTTGCCTTTAAACGAGCTATAACTTCCAGAACTTGTGAAAAAGTGATCAGCTGACCCTGAAGCTTGTGGTGTTTCAGCTTCCTCTGTTCCTGCAGGGATGATTAATTTCTCTGAGGTTGTTTTCACACCTGATAGTCCGGTAGACTCGGTTTGGTTACATTTTGTTTACATTTGAGCTGGTGCATTTGCATTCACACTGCACTGTGCAGTCGAGCCAACCTGTTGAACCAACCTATTCCCCCGCTCGCCTGTGGGGGCGCTGCACCAAGAACTACTGAAAGAAATGACACATAGCTACTTTTACCTGAACCTAACACTGTAAGTGAAACAAGGCATTTCTTGAGTTGCTGTAAATTATAATATAATATATATTTACTCTCTCATTCCAGAAAACAACAACAAACAACAACATCTTCATGATGGACAGACATCATGGACACCACAGCAGGAGCTGGCTTCAATGAAATCATCCTTAAATGATCGTCACTGACATGAGGCCTCTGTCGATGGTTGAAGACGAAGGCTTCACTACAATATTCCACACTTTTAATCCAGGTTACAATATTCCACACTTTTAATCCAGGTTACACTCTTCCCTCAATGACACATTTTACAAAGTAGCTACATATTGTGCAGGTATAAAGATACATTTGTATATATTTTTGTGTACATTTATTTTTTGAAGCTATTTGACTAACTTTTATTTTTTATTATTAAATATTTTACTAACAGAATAGTAAAATAGCAACCAGTTTTTGTGTGAATTGCTATGTCAGTCAAATGTTCAATTTTGGAATAAAGGGGTGGAAATTAAAATGTTTTTTTTTTTGCCGATTCATCAATTAATCGAAAACATAATCGGCCGATGAATCGATTATTGAAATAATCGTTAGTTGCAGCCCTAGTAAGGAACCTAAAATTATTCTTTTAAATAAATGTTCTATTTGTTTACATTGTTGTTTATTCTTTTCAGCTTGTCAGTTACATAACTGAAACAAAATTTATGACCATTTCAACAGAAAAATTTATCGTTTCTGAATCGAAAATCGTTTCTGAATCGGGAAAAAATTATTTTGAATTGTATCGTGACAAAAAAATAATAAAATCGGAATTGTATTGAATCATAAGACAGAGATTTGCACCACTAATCTTTAACATGATCGTCACTGACATGAAGCCTCTGTTGATGGTTGAAGGTAGGAATGTGCGATATGGCATAAAATTCATATCACGATATGTATTGTGAAGGGTGGCGATAACGATATATATCGCAATACGTTTTTGGTATAAAACTTAATAGGAATTTAAAAAAGGGTGTCCTTTTGCCATCATATATTTTGAATAAAAAAAATTCCACTACTAGTTCCAGAGAGTTTTTAAATAATAATAAAAAAAAATCAAGTATTAGGCTTCTTGCTTGTAGTGCAAAACAGTGCAAAAGATCAATGTAGTTTTAGCCATATGTTTTAAACAAAATAATGTGTTTTTAACTTAACAGTTTCCAGTCTTCTCACTTGAGAAATGAACAGCAACAGAGCAGCAACTGAAAACACTTCATCCTCCAACCCTCTAGTGGGCGACTCCTTCAGCTTTAAGGAGAGTTGACACAAAATGACTCTGTGGCTTTGACTTGAGGGTCTCGCAGTAAAATCACACAACACAGCGTTCTTTTCACAGATCAGAGAGCAGGTGTCTCTAAAGCTGACCAACGCTTACTTTAACCTGACGGGGGGAAAAAAAAAACTTTCGACGGAACACAGCGTTTTGCGCATGCGTCCGAATACGGCAACACTACGGCAAGGCAGCCGTAGTTAGCTTGTAGCTTCGCTACTTAGCTCTCGAAGAAAAGACTTTAACGCCACTTGCGCACAGTTTTCAACTAAAAAAAGTAACGATTAAACTGAAAACTCTGATTTTACATCAGACACAGCATTACTGCGGTTAGCCGGTAGAAGACAGATCTATATCGTAGGCTAAATTTCTATCGTTTCTACCGTGTACCGTTTATATTGCGTATTCCTAGTTGAAGCTGAAGGCTTCACTACAATGATCCACATATTTAATCCAGGTTACACTCTTCCCTCAAAGACACATTTTACAACGCTTATGGAGAGAATGTGTGATTGACTGTATGATTTGCTGTGTCAGTCAAATCTTCTATTTTGGAATAAACAGGTGGAAATAAACTTTTTTTTTTACGGATCATCGATCAATCAAAAAAATAATAACCGACCAATTAATCGATTATTAAAATAACCGTTAGGTGCAGCCCTAGATTGACCCTTAAAATCTGAGACAGCTGAGGAAGTTAACCAGTGAGCAGAAATACCCGCTTACTGGTTAACTTATATCACTCATCTGCAGGGACTGCTTTAAGAGGTTGAACAAGAAAATGTGACAAACATCCTTTGTCCCAAAGCCAGTTTAAGTATCATTATTATTTTGGTTACTTTATTTTTCTTTCTTTATGAATTGATTTGAACTATTTTCATATTATTCAACAACCAAAACAGATTTTGTTTTTTAACCCAATGGCTATGTATTAAGAAACAAACATTTAGCCCTCCCCACTACACAGTTATGATGCTCAAATTTTGAAATGCAACCAGAAGTTCTGTGTTGAGAGGCAGAAAGAGAAGTTATGGAGACGCCGCTAATGTCGAACCGGTCAACACAAACTGCCTGAACCTCTGTGTAGTACTGGTTCATGTCTCCCCAGGCATTTTGTTTGCAAATTATAAGACAAAACTTCTGGTTGTTAACCAGTCAACATCAAGCATACAAACACAATCTGCCTGTCGTTATACTCGGGTTACACTTGTTGCTTCATGCTGTATTTGTTTGTTTGTGGGGTTTTTTTACATATTAAAAAAATAATAACCTAAAACTAGGGGTGTAACGGTACACGTGGGTGTACTGAACTGTTTTGGTACGGCACGTTCGGTTCGGTCCACCTGTGTACCGTTTCAGTTATTTTTTCATTAATTAAATTGTATTAACGAGAGATTATGCGCCGCGGAACTAAAGTTCCTAAGCGTGTTTCAGCACGGCGCTATTATCTTGCAGCACGCGTAGCATTAGCATCTCGTTGCGGTCTCCTGTTGGGGAACATTATGTCTTTCTTGTTAAAAGACAAGTGAACAAATCCAAAGCTGTGTCGACGTTATTTCATGGAGATTGGATCTGCAGCAGCAACACGTCTAAATTGTTAACGCTCTTGAAACGACATCATCCGAACGTGAACGTCTGTTCTAGCAGCTTGTTGCAAAGACCGATGGCAGCAACATTAAACAACTTTTATCAGGTAATTCAGATCGGTCCAGAGCAATAACACAATCTGTAGGAGTTTTTAAATCTCTGGATCTACGTTTCTGTTGTTGATGCGCCAACTTTAAAGTTCTTGAGCCCCGCTACGACATCCCATCACGTCAACACTTCAGCCAAACAGTTGTAGCAGCACTTTATGAAAAAGCTAAAACTGATCGTCAACAAGCCCTGGACCAGATTAAAGTCCTGTCCTGATGATGACCCAGAGATTCAACCACCCCATACCAAATTCTGACCGTTCAAGAAGAGGTATTGTTCTTTTATTATTATTATTTAATTAACTTTTTTTTTTTTATTCTAATCTTATTAACTCATTTTCTTTTGTACCTCTTTGTGTTTTATTTCCAGTCTGGGACAGAGATAACAGCTGAGAGTCTTCTTCCTCTTCTGAACTTTTCCAGGGACCTGTCCCACCTGTGGGAGCAGGTCCAAGAGGTTCTGAATAATGATGAGGCCAAATACAGCCACACTGCAAAATTAGCAAAGCTCTACCTCTTTATTTCTGCTACTGACATTAGTGAGCAGTTTTCTCCACCGCTGGAGATAATGTCACTACAACTAGATCTATGATTTTGGTAGAAAATGTGGACAAGTTGGTCTTTTTGGCCAAAAACTTAAAACTTGATTAGTTAGATTGTAAACAGTCTGTTGCTGCTTATTGTTCTGGTTCTGACTGTTATTGTATTTATTAAGATTTTCATTATTGTTAGTATATTTTATTTGTTGTAAAGAGTGTCTTTTATTTAAAATATCATCCAAATGGGTGGCTTTTATTTATTTTTATACAAACGTATTGTTTACTTGGCATATTTTCTAAATAAACATTTTGTAAGTCTTTATTTTGGACTTTTTTTGTACCGAAAATGAACCGAACTGAGACCTCCCTGAAACTGAACCGAACTGAAATGTGATTTTAGCGTACCGTTACACCCCTACTTAAAACTAAACTAAGTCTTCTGATACCTTCGTCCAATCAGGTCTAGTCCTTTAGTAACGCCTTGATTTGTTTTCCCGTCCAATCAGGTGTGACCCTTGAGATAGGCCTTCCTTTGGGAACGCCTATTCGTCTGCAGACATACCTACTTAGAATTATGGGATACATGAACGTCCAGACGTTATGACATCACCGAGCCTCAAATGCGGCCAGAGTTGCCAAGTCTGCTTAATATAAGCAACTTCACATTCAAAAACAAGCCCAAAAAACCCGCAACCCACGACTCAAGATTTGCAAGCCACTTTAGAAAAAAATAAACCCAAAGTTTCTTATATTTGGGCTTGACTTTCTTTCCAAGTGAAACTAGTTGATTATCTCCCAGCTCCGCATAATAAAGCAAAACTGAGTGGTAGTAGGTAGTTTGTCCCTTCCACACACCCGTTTCCTGTTTATCGCTCCCGCCCAAGTTAGCGAGGCGACAGGCGCACACCAAACAAACACTCATACTGTGTCTGACCACTAGGGGGCTCCACAAGTGCAACAGAGACTTCCAGCTTACATCCAGATATGACTGTGTTCAGTCCAACTGTCATTCTGTCACAAACAAAACTACAGCTTCAACATCTGTCACTTCTGAAACTTTATTCTGGCAATTTTGAAGCTCTTGACATAGTATCAGGCTGTTACAAACCATCCATGGACAAACAAGAAGGACACCTAGGCAGATGTATTTTGGGTTGAAGTGCTAAGTTACAAAGACAGCAGTGGAGAGAAGGCTTTCTGTGAAGCTGCCCCATTTGCTCTGTCTCTGCTTGCAATGCCCTTGAGCAATGCTGATGTAGAACGAGTGTTCTCACAAATGAACCTGGTCAAGTCCAAACTGAGGAACAGAATGGGGCAGGACACACTCGGCTGCATACTCCACATAGAATATGGACTGAGGAGACAAAGTTTGTGCTGCACAGGTTTCACTCCAATCAAAGAGATGCTCGAGCGTTTTAACAGTCACATGCACTCTGTGGGAGGAACATTTGAAAGTGCAGAGACAGATGCAAACGAAAACAGCGATGACGGATTGTAGTTCAGGTAAAAGCTATTTTTACATCTTTTTCATCTGTACCAAGTTTTATGCTAATTTCCCCATATGTGATTTCTGTGATGAACAGATGAACCGACCTGATGGGGAAGCGAGAAGGACAAGGAAAGAAGATGTTTCACATTTGACCTGTCTGAGTTGGCTCACGTGTGTCTTTGCTTTTAAACAGAGTTTAAACAAAGTTTTTTTTTTTGTTGACTGTGTTTACTATGAGCTTGCTGTTACATATGCAAAATGTTTTGTTTTTTTTATCAGATCTTAAAAGTATGTTATTGTTATCTTTATGCGTTTAGCATAATTTTGCTGTTGTTTATGTGTAATGCCATAATAAATGTATGTTTATACTGGTTAAAAACGGCCTGTTTTTACACAACGTGGTGGGTTGCCAATTGGGCTTTTCTTGGGCTTGTTTTCATAGAGCTGGTAGGTCGTTTCAATCGCGAAATCTGGCAACACTGATTGCGGCCTTCGAAGCATACAGGCCCTGAATTTACACATCACCTTAAATATCTTCTCTGTTAAGTGTGTAAAACTGTTGTTTTATCCTCGATGACATTAGTTTGGATAGGACATCTCCAAACTGAGAATTATTAAGAGATAAAAAGAGCCTCCTGATTCTTGATCTAATATTTTAGTTTCTAGATCTTAGCTACCTTAGCGCTAGCTTCTGTTAGGATGCTAAGCTACAAACACAGACAACAGATTTAGTTAAGAAGTTAAATCCATCAACTACCTAGAAACCACAGCTAGCTAACATCGTCTGATGCTGAATGAAACAAACAAACCTGAACTCATTTTCTCTCCAACTCGACAGTTCCTCTTCGTAATCTGAGATTATTCCTTCAAAAAGACCCGATGTTTCTCCGCAGCTTCCTCCAGTCTGTTGGACCCGCTGTCTCCACGGTTTTACTCCTCGGTGAACTTAGTTCTAGGTTGGATCTTCGACACATTCACTCCGTGGATTCAGCGGTGTCTTCGACCCGTTTCACCCGCTGCTGGCAGCGAGATTACGGTCAGATCTCCTCCGCGCGCTCCCTCCTCCTGAGCACAGAGGTTCTTTTAGGGACCGTCAACAAATTACCGAACGAATGACTCAAGAAAAACAAAACAATCAGCCTCATATGAATCTCTGAACAAAAGGTAATGCTAAATTGTTTCACTAGCCTGGACAAATAGGACTCAGACACTTTTTAAAATATTTTAATGCATCTTTTCTTTTTATGATAATTTTTTTTATTCAATAGCATCCCTCTCCTGTGACCTGATTAATCAAAATTATGCTGAATTGTTTTACTATATTGCACAAATAACACAACAGAATTTGATCACATTTCACTGCATCTCATATTGTATAGCTTGGTGGTCAGTGCTGTGGTTTTGTAATTCTGAGTTTGCAGGTTCAAGCCCAGGTGGTGTCAAGAAGCAGGATATTTGACATAAAGCAATAGCCAAATCTTTCATGTAATTTCGCTTGCTGTGGCAACCCCCTGAAGAAGAGAGTAGCCAAAATAAACTTACTTATTGTACTAAACAAATATAGAATTTAAAAAAATAAAGCAGGGCTTAATTTGAGCTGGATCCTGATGGAACAGGATCCAGAAACTGTCTTATTTTGATAGGGTGCACTCCGGTAACTGTTTGCTTGGATCCGATAACTCTCTTGCTTACTAATAATAAAGTTACGAACAAATTTGACTGCTTTGAATGAACAAAACCTATATTGGACATTTAATCTGAAAATATTTACATAAACACTAATTTTAAACACAACAGCCACTTACTAGCTTCGTAATATCACATTAAAGCTTCCCTTCAAGTGAACTTTTCTGCTTCTACCTTTGAAAAAATCTCCGCCCCTAATAGTACAGTCATGGGCAATGTAATTAAAAACACAAAAATATAATTAAATAGCACAACTAAATTGCAAATCAGTTTTACAGTTTAAGTGGGACATTAATAAAATTTTGATTATTAAAATATGAGAGAAGTGTTTGATGGGTAATCATGTGACATATGTTACGTAACAAAACAACAGTGCCAATACGTCAAAATAACAGCGATCAAAATGTCTAAAAGACAGTTGATTATACTTTAATTTAAAGAAGTCTTCTAAAATCAAACACACGAGAATTGAAGCACATGAAGACAGTGACAATGGAGAATGTACTCAACGTTGTGGGGGTAGGATGCTTGAGAGAATCAGAGCGTGCTCTATTCACACAAGGAGAGAGCTGTTGGTCATGATGCTCTCTAAAATAGTTATTGAATCAAATGTTTACTTATGTATGTAAACGTAGATGTTTAACAACCTGTTAAAACACACCAGAATGCAAGAAATGGCATCTACTTATTCCAATTTTTCTCGGGGAGAACCCCCCACCTCACTATTTTTGTTCTGGCATCGTTTGGTTTACAAATTAAGCACTGCAGGTTTTGTGGCATCAGTGCAGTACTTTGTTTTTACCACTAGAAGTGGATAAAGGTTTTGGTAAAGTAAATGTAAAGTAAATGTTTTTAAGTGCTGAAGCTACGTCACTGCTTTAGTACCTGATTCAAAGGTTTATAAGAAAGTGAAGATTGGGAATGAGATCATCAAGTGATTTGGTGCTTTTTTAATCAAAAAGTAAATTCTTAAGCCCAGTCTTAAAATTGGACAATGTGTCAGCCTTATGGACAGGATCTGGAAGTTGGTTCCACAAGAGAGGAGCCTGATAACTGAAAGATCCTCATCCCATTGTGCTTTTGGAAACTCCAGGGACCACAAGATAGCCTGCAGTCTGAGAGCGAAGCGCTCTGTTAGGAAAATATAGAACAATAAGATCTTGAATATAAGAATGGCTTTTTGTCTGAGCAGGTTTGCTCCTCCACCGGCTCTCCGCAGGGATGTGTGTTCAGTCATTTCTCCTTTAACCTCTACACAAACATGTGCCATAGCAGCAGGGAAGACTGAGTCATTTTAAAGCATGCAGATGACTCAGTCGTTGTTAGCCTGCTTAAAGAGAAAGAAACAGGCCATGCCATGTGCTGGAGGACTTCAGTCAGCGGTGTGATGAATTCTATCTGCAGCTGAATATTTCAAAAACTAAGGACATGATTATTGATTTTAGAAAACACACTAAGGCACAGGAAACTACTCTTCTAAATAGACTGTGCAAGTTGTTGACACCTACAAATATCTGGGTACAGTTATTGACAGTAAACTGACCTTTGAGACAAACTGTTAGGCCGTCTACAAGAAAGGGAACCAGCGCCTGTTTTTCCTCAGGAAACTTTCTTCCTCCCACAACAATAAAACCTTGTTGACTATTTTATCAAGCTTTTATTGAAACGGTTTTGTCTTACTGCTTGGTGTCCTGGTTTGGTATTTTAACTCTTAAAAACTGCCTAAACTAGTCCAATGGTCCAGTAATTGACAAGTGAGCTGCAGATAAACCCAGAGTCCTTGTATTTCAGGCTGGTGCAGAGGTTATCCACATCCATCTTAAGAGATGTGTCTCGTCCTCTGCACTGCGAGTTCAGGCTTCTCTCATCGGGGCGCAGATTTGATTCCCAGATGTAAAACTAAACGGTATAAAACCAGTTTTGTTCCTGTTGGCATAAGCTTTCAAAATTCGACTTAGTATGGCACCGGGCCATTTTTTAATCAATTTTTAATCATGTTATATTTATTTTTTATACTTCTTGTGTGACTATGTAAAATTTCCTGTCTGGCAAGAAAGCTGACTTACCTCACTGTAACTAAATCTACCTGAGAGTATAAACAAAGTTGATTGATTGATTGTTGGTTCTCATGTGTTTAAAAGTAATCTCAAATTTTGAACTGAAGTCAAAACAATTTAAAGTTAAAAAATTTAAGAGTTCAAATTTTGAACTGAAGTCTTACAGGTTTACTTCTGTATGAGAAACTAAGGACTGCTTAGGTTCCTGTGGACTTTTGTGTGTCTGTTTAAATAAATCTAAATGGCTAAATCTTTGTTAACAATCCTCAAATTCAAACGGTATCTGTCCCGTGTGGACAGTCATGTGTAAGTTTAAAGTTATCTCATGGCTGAATCTTTGTCCACAAACTTCACATTTAAGTAGTTTCTGTCCAATATGGACTCCCATGTGAAAGTTTAAATTTGACTTCTGCCTAAATCTTTTACCACAAAAATCACATTCATATGGTTTCGCTCCTGTGTGGATTCTAATATGTCTATTTAAACTTGTCTTTTGGCTAAATTTTTGTCCACAATTCTGACATTCATATGGTTTCTGTCCTGTGTGAACTCTCACATGTGAGTTTAAACAGGTCTTGTTGGTAAATCTCTGTCCACAATCCTCACATTTAAATGGTTTATAGCCTGTGTGGATCCTGATGTGTTTGATTAAATTTGACTTATGATTAAATCTACGTCCACAAATATTACATAAAAATGGTTTATCTCCCGTGTGAATTCTCATGTGTACAATTAAATTTTCTTTTTGGTTAAATTTTTTACCACATTCATCACAACTAAATGATTTTGGTCCCGTCTGGACTTTCCTGTGCGTCTCTACACTTTTCTTCTGATCCAAACAGCTGGAACGTCTTACTGTTGAATGACATGTCAAGTGTCTCTGAAGTGACCGGTTGTGCAGAAATTGTTTGCCACACTCAGAGCAGCTGAAACATTTGTTGACAGAGTTTACAGCTGACTCAGGAGCTCTGCTCTCCTTCCAGTCTTTGTCACTGTCTTCAGTTGTTGACCCAGAGTCTGACAAGTGTTCCAGCTGAGAGTCAGCATTGTTCCCATCCTCGTCCTCTTCATCATCCTTACTGACTTCAGTCTCTGAAGAGTTGGAAGCATCTCCATGAGGATTTAGAACTGGGTTCCTGCTGGTTTCTGCTCCTCCACAATCCTCTCCATCATATTCTACTTTCATCTGGTCAGCTGAGCTGCTGGTTGGAACATCTCTGTCCTCCATTTCATGCTGATGAAGATGTGAGAACAGAGGCTTCTCGTCATCATCCTCAGTCTTCACATGAACTGCAGTGAATGAAAACCTGCTGGCATCAGTCTCCTCCTTCACATTTAGCTGCTCTCCCTCCAATCTGGTCCAGAATTCCTCCTCTTCCTCTTTTATGAGCTCTGGGTCCTGCTGGACCACATCAGGCCTCCATTCCTCAGGAGCATCTACTCTGATCAGCAGAGTCTGCTGAACATCTGCAGGAAACACTGAAACACAGACAATATGGACTGAATATAACTTTATATTCACTCATACATCACTTGTGTTGTTGATTAATGTTCTGTGGATCAGAACTGTTCCAAGTCAAATGAACAACATTTTATTCAGTAAAAGACAAACAAATGTCTGTTCATCATCAAAATTACAAAAAAAAAAAAAAGGTAAAATGCCTGATATAGGAATTTGGATATTTTTGCTTAACTTTAAATTTTATTTTATTCATCAAAGTCTGCAAATTATAAATAATCAGATTAAAGAAAAAGTAAAATCGGTGCATGAGTCCAATGTTTTGCCATTACAAAATTAGTGAAGCCAAAAATTCTAAAAATGTTGTGTTACATTGAATTCAATTCAGTTTATTTATATAGTGCCAAATCACAACAAAGTTGTCTCAGGGCACTTTACAGGAACATTCCCATACATAAAAGACAATTAGTAAAGTTCTCTATCTAAGGAATCCAGCAGACAAGTTGAATCTTGGCTTTGTTGCAGTCTCCCATCCTGAGCAAGCACAGTGGCAACAGTGGAAAGGAAAAACTCCCTTTTAAAAAGAAGGAACCTCCAGCAGAACCAGGCTCAGGACAAGCAGCCATCTGCTTTGACCGGCTGGTTTGAGAGGACAGAAAGGAGAGACAGACAAACACAGAATGGTAGGTCCAGATGTCCCTGAAAGACAAAAAAAACAACACATGTTTGGATAAAAAAAAATCATTACAAATACAAAACAGGTTGAGCAGAGTAAGTAAAGACAGGAGCAGAGTGAAAAAGTGTGGTCAGTTTGTCCTCCAGCAGTCTAAGCCTATAGCAGCATAACTAAGGGACAGCTCAGGAAACCCAAGCCGACCCTAACTATAGGATTTATCAAAAAGGGAAGTCTTAAGCCCAGTCTTAAAACTGGATAATGTGTCAGCCTCACGGACAGAGATTGGAAGTTGGTTCCACAAGAGAGGAGCCTGATAACTGAAAGCTCTGCCTACCATTCTGTTTTTGTAAATTCTAGGAACTGCAAGTAAATCTGCAGCCTGAGAGCGAAGTGCTCAGTTCGGAAAATATGGAACAATAAGACCTGTAATACAAGATGGAGCTAGGGTGTTGAGAGCTTTGTAGGTTAGAAGTAGGATTTTGAATTCTATTCTGGATTTGACAGGGAGCCAATGGAGAGAAGCTAAAACTGGAGAGATATGGTCTCTCCCACTACCACCAGTTAAGACTCTGGCAGCAGCATTTTGGATCAATTGAAGACGTTTTAAAGAAGTGGGGCGAAAGACTGAAAAATTAATTCCTAAGGTGTTCAGGTCCAAAAACCAAAACCTCAGTCTTGTCTGTGTTTAAAAGGAGAAAATTAAGGGTCATCCAGGTTTTTATGTCTTTAAGACATGCTTGTAGTCTAAGTGACTGATTGGATTCATTGGGTTTAATGGACAAATATAATTGTGTGTCATCAGCATAACAATGAAAATTGCATCAGTATTAAGATATAATAGCTCATACATCATCTGAAATGTGACCTTTTTCCACAATTCCTCCTTGGCCCCGCTTTACCCTGCTCAGGCCGGTTCCCTGTTCTTTCCCACAGGGCCTTTTTTGTGGAACCGGCCTGTTTTTTCAGTACCTACTTCTCTGCGGTTCCACTGAGGCCAAGCAAGACCCTAAAACGTGACGTCAGCGCACTGTCGGTCACTGAATGGTCAGGGAGGGAGAGGAGTCATTGGATCTTTCAGAAATGTTTCACACCAATCCGCCATTTGCAATTTCTCTGAACCCAGAGCAGTGGCTGTATCTATTTTAAAGATTTTAAAAACAATAATGACAACACTGTGTTTTAATGCTGAAGTGCAGGTGAAGAAGACGAAAAAGAGAAGAAGATCAAATGGTGGAAGATGAAGAAGGAAGAATGGTGTGAAAAATTCAGAGAGGAGCTGTTAAAGGCTCTGAGTGGTAAGAAAGAACTTCCAAATGACTGGACTACTACAACCACAGTAATTAGAAAGACAGGTAGAAAGGTACTTGGTGTGTGTGTCATCTGGACAAAGAATGGATGATAAGGAAACCTGGTGGTGGAATAGTGAAGTGCAGAACAGCGTTCAAAGAAAGAGGTTTGCCAAAAAAAACATTTTTCCCTCATTCGTGAACAAGACCCCAAGACACTTGAACTCCTCCACTTGGGGCAGGACCTCTTCCCTGACCTGGAGAGGGCACTCTACACTTTTCCAGCTCAAGACCATGGCCTTTGATTTGAAGGAACTGATCTTCATTCCGGCCGCTTCGCACTCGGCTGCGAACCGCTCCATCGAAAGCTGTAGATCACATTCTGATGAAGCCAATAGGCCCACATCATCTGCAAAAAGCAGGGACGCAATCCTAAGGCCACCAAAACGGATCCCCTCAACACCTTGGCTGCGCCTAGAAATTCTGTCCATAAAAGTTATGAACAGAATCGGTGACAAAGGGCAACCTTGGAACTCGATAGTGTCTTTGCGGATTTAGAAAAAGCATATGACAGGGTGCCAAGGGAGGAGGTGTGGTATTGCATGAGGAAATCTGGAGTGGCAGAGAAGTATGTTAGACTGGTACAGGACATGTATGAGGACAGCAGGACAGTGGTGAGATGTACTGTATGAGTGACAGATAGATTTAAGGTGGAGGTGAGATTACATCAAGGATCAGCTCTGAGACCCTTCTTGTTTGCTATGGTGATGGACCGACTAACAGATGAGGTCAGGCAGGAATCCCCATGGACTATTATGTTTGCAGATGACACTGTGGTCTGTGGTGAGAACAAGGAACAGGTGGAAGAGAACTGGGGAGAGGTGGAGGTATGCACTTGAAAGAAGAGGAATGAAAGTCAGCCGTAATAAGAGAGTACAGGTGTGTGAATGAGAGAGAGGCCAGTGGAACAGTGAGGTTCTAAGGAGCAGAGGTCTTCAAATACTTGGGGTCCACTGTTCAGGAGAAGGGGGAGTGTGGTAAAGAGGTGAAAAAGAGAGCCCAGGCAGGATGGAGAAAAGTTTCAGGAGTGATTTGTGACAAAAGGGTGTCAGAAAAGGTCAAATGAAAAGTTTACAAGACAGTGGTGAGACCAGCTATATTGTATGGTCTGGAGACAGTGGCATTAACAAAAAGACGGGCGTTTACCTTCGGGACAAATTGAGGTCGCCGATTGGTCATTTGCTGACATGCCTATTGGATTGATTGACAGGTCGGGGAAAAAAAAAAGAGCGCTGGCAGCCTCAGCCACAGCGGTGTTCTGTGTTTATATGTTGTTAATAAAAAGATCTAAAAAAAACAAAAAACAAAAACAGAGCGGTAGCTCTGCAGCCCACACATCAGACCAGCCCACCAGGAAATCTCCAGACCCTCCCGCAGCCACGCTAGACCTGAGTTTAATTCGCTCGTGACAAATTCCTTCATTTCTCACCATTTCAGTCATTGCATCAACGGAGGAGGAAGAGATCACTTGCCTCTTGGCAAAAAAAAAACAAACAAAAGAAAAGGCCAGATTAGAGATAAAGAAGGGGAATTTAGTACATTGGTGTCGCATACGAAACAGTCCGTCGCCGGGCAGTTTATTGTGCGACACCGCATACGCGTATGCGGTCGTAAAAATTGAGCTTTGCACGGACATGCCCTGGGGGGTACGCTCGTACCTCTGCATACGTACGTGCGTACCTCTGTGTATGGACGTACGCGGGAGTATACTGGGGGCTTTATACCCTTGTCTCACCCTGCAGTCCGCCTATCCTAGTAGCTGGGGTTGACATCGTCTGCAAGGAAACTCACATTAACAGTCGTCCACCTTTGTACAGATTGCATTTGTTACCGGTCTAGTTAGTTTTAGTGTCCAGGCTCCAGGACACAAAGGTATTGTTTTAATTAACTCACAGCTGAGAAAACCATTAAAAACCTCCTCAATTAAACTTAAAGAGTTGTACCAGGCAGGCACCCAGGGTCCATGAACATGAGTGGATGGTAATAATAATCCGATACTTTTTAAATTTCTCATGCTTGGCTTTTAATTAAAATATTTTGCAGGGAACAGCAACATAGCATCAAATCCGGCAACAGTAATTATACATCCATTAAATTAAAAAATAGAAAATCAAGAGTCAATTCATAACTTGAAGGGCACCCCTAGTAATTATCATTTGGATTACACAAGGTCGATAGTCCAATTGAGATGTTAATCCATGCTCCGATGAGCAAAAGTGAAAAGTATTAATCCATGCGCCCCGATGAGCAAAAGGGAACAAATTTTATATACGCTCCGATGAGCAAAAAGGAACAAAAATATTAATGCTACGATGAGCCAAAGTGAATAATAAGAAATAAAACTTAGATCAGGAACCCTATAGTTCAATTAAAAAGGGAAGTCCTCTCAAAATATTGTAATTTTGACATTGAAGTTACCAACTCTAGGGTGGCATGCGAAAACACAACACACAAAATGTTATCAATATTTTTCTGATCTACTTGCTGGTCAATAGAGCTATAGCAGTGTTATTAATTTCTTTAAATTTTCATTAGGACAGAATAATGAGAATGTGTCTTACCAGTTTCTCTTGGTAACTCCTCATCAGAGGAGACCCTTGACTAAAAACTGGTGACTCTCATCCATCGGTTACTCTGAAGAATGCTCCATTCTGCGTTCAATAGCAATCCAATCTGAAAAACTTGACTTTGGTTTTAATTTGGGCTGAGCTTAAAGGGATCCATGAATAGTTGGAACATGTTGGCCTAAATATGTTGTATTTTTCCTATTAACTTAAAAATTGCTGTTTGTGAAGTGTAAAATCTCATAATTACTTCAAAAATGTTATATCTTTTGTTATATTTTTCACTCATGGAGGCAGCCATTTTTTCACCTGTGCAATGCATGCTGGGTTGATGACATGGTTAGGTCCTTTCTGTTCTGGAATCTACAGAGTAAACACCAGAAGGCTAACATTACCAGAGTTGTTTTTATGATATTGCGTTTGTAAATTTGAATAATGCCACACATTGTGTCACTGTTGGCTGTAATTTCAAAACAGAAAAAGGCAGAAATAGTGAGGTGAGTGTAAAAAAAGTGTGTGAAAAGCAATGGGAAAAATCCGTCAAAATAATGAAACTTCCAAAGAACCTACATTTGTGCTCTCAGAACTACTCTCCAGAAGACTTTGAAGGAGCTGACAGGTGGTCGTTACCCAGGAAAGTGAAACTTAAATGCCATGCCAACAATTTTTACCCATAAAGCACCTAAACCCCACCGCCAGCTGGCGAGCAAAAGATGCTGGGAAAAGAATCAGAGACAGGCAACACTGGAAGCTCTAGCTATTTCCACTGCTGCTGGTACCGAATGTAAAATCACAGATCCGACACCAGACCAAAGACCAGACCCTATACAGGTGCTACCAGACTAGACACAGAGCACATCAGCTACTCACCAGATCACATGACCAGCAGTACATGTTCATCCATCGTTTAATTTACGAAGCTGAAGTTTGCTTCCAATTATGGAAATAACTAAAAGGGCGATTCCAGCTAACTTTTCACTATCTTAAGTGTCTTTAATCTGTTTTAGTTCAAGTGACCAAAATGATCATGTATTAAAAAAAGAAGAAAACATTTCAAATTATTCAAAATGCCTTTTGTTGCAGTGAGAGGAGCTTCTCATGCAACTGAGAGCCGAAATAGAGATCTTCAAAACTTTAGAATAAAAAAAAAGCTGTTCAATAATGTTTAAAATTTGAAGTTTTGCATTTATAATTGTTTTTAACTGAGACTTGTTTTATTGTGGAGACCCCCTAGCCCACACAAAAAACACGCATTTGCCTATTTTGACATTGTGAAGTTTCACAAATCAGATAAAGGTTTGACAAATCACAGAGTAGGTTTTAATTGTTCTGCTATTAGTGTAGAATAATCTAGAATAATCTAGTCCAAGTTTGAAGTGTCTAAGTATTTTAATCTTTAAACTAGAACCGATTAAAGATGCTCGTGGTAGTGAAAAATTAGGTGGAATCACCCTTTAGCCATTTCCTGAATCGGAAACTGCAATCGGAAGCCAACTTCAGCTTCATGTTTAATTTATTATTATTGTTAATATTATTTCACAATTTTAAGAAACCAATGTTGTATTTATATTAATAACAATTTTTATTAGTTGTTTTCAACTATAAATGCTGAAACACAAATCGTCAGCACATCAGATGCAGCAGTAGTGGCCAGAAGATGCATTTTATCCAATAAAAATGGAGCACATTTATGCAGACAGGCCACTGGAAAATCGAGATGATTTACCCCTTCTTCATTACCCCTTGTGAGTTCTAAATTGACATAAATTTCAACGCGCTCAGGTTAAAACTGAAAAGGAGTAATGTTACTCATAGCTGCTTTGGCTGGGCGGAGCTAGCACTACAGGACCTAGCATACATTATTTACCCAGAATGCATTGCAGCGCAAACAACATGGCGACGTCCGTGAGACAACATTTTATTCAATTTTATAAAAACTAAACAGCCTACAATATTTTTACTGTATTATTTTTACATCTAAAATAAATATTTCTCAAATAAAGTCTACTGTTACAACTAATCATGGATCCCTTTAAAATAAATTACTTCTTTTCGGATTCTATGTTTCCCAATAGCTACTGAGCATGTCAATACTCTGTCCTGTCGTATCCAAATGCCCCAAGAACTCAGCGCCATTCTGTTAAGGCGGACTCTTTTTATAGGTTTTAGGTTTGTGTAACCTGTTGCACAACTCTCCTTAGCAACTCCTTAGATACCAATAAATTTCTAGAAGTTTCTGCAACACCCTACCAGAGGTCTAACAGTCGTTTTTCTGTTAACTGCATGATTTCGCAATCTCCAACTGCCGTTGGCAAGCTTCCTGCTTTCTACAGATAATTCCTTTTAAGGCCACTTGTTGATAAAGGAGTTTAACTCGGTTCATAACGGCTGGAGCATTCTGTTCAGAACTTAACCCTTCATAATAACTTGCTAAAAATGGGTTCAAATTAGTTCAAAATGCCCAGGACATTTTGTTCAGAGTAACATGTTTTGTGATCATTGATTGTGTTCCAAGTATAGTCTCTTAAAATCAATAATCGGTCTTTAATCACTCATTAATCACTTTCAAGTATAAACTTGCGCTCATTTTACGATGATTGAGTTATGATTCACAAGATTCTTAACACTTATTTTTGCACAGTACATTGATTTCACATAGTTCAATATTATATGTTACATATCATTTTTACATTTGTTTCAACAAAGCAGGACTTAAAAACTGACCATGTACTTCACCAAAACCCACATTCCTTGACACTTTTCATTAAAAACATGGAGACAAATATCCAGTTTAGGGTGATTTATTTGCTGTGTTTCTTCTGGTATTTACACACAGCAGTAAAGTGCAAACAGAAGCTCAAGGCAAAAGCAGCAAGCCTGTGTCCGTGTCAGGAGAGAAACAAACTGACCGACACATGCAGCTCTGCACTTTGTTTACAAAGAGCGGTGCGTTCAATAGCGTCAGAACAGCCAGGGTGCATTCAAGAGCATAGGAACTATGAAATTCAGAAAGAAACGAGCTGTAACCGAACAGAACCGAGCTCAGTAAACAAGCCAACTAAACAACAATGTGGGTTTTCTAACAGCTTTGTTAATAATGGTTATTAAAGGATGAATGATTATACTTAATTAGAATCAGACTTTTTAAAGAGCAAGTCAGCCTTTCATTATGTTTGCTCTGTATGTTCAGTTTAAATTTTAAGTGCACAGCTGTTTTTTGGTTTTGTTATGGTTTTTTTTTTTTTTTAACATTTATTTTGTACAGTTAGTTTTAATAAAGGTGCCTGTGTGACAATTGGGACAAAGCTTTGCCTCAGAAAAATATTTTTGTTATTACTTTATGGAAAAAAAAATATTGAGATGTATATCATATATCGCCACTTACCTTAAAATATCGAAATATTAATTTTGGTCTGTATCGCCCAGCCCTAACAGGGACACAGAGACAGACAAGACAAACAACAATTCACTCTCTCACGCACACCTAGGGACAATTTAGGGTTACCAATCAGTCAAACATGCATGTTTTTGGTCTGTGGGAAGAAACCGGAGTACCCAGAGAAAACCCATGCATGCACAGAAAGAACATGCAAACTTGACCCAAAAAGACCCCTGGACTGGGATTTGAACCGAGGCAACCTGCTTGCTGAGAGGCAGCAACTCTACCAACTGAGCCACTGCGCTGCTCTTGGTTCTAGTTGAAAACACCTAATATTCAGTTAAATTCAGTTTCCCCTCCTACAATGGAGCTTTAGGGCCACATTAAGATTATTTTTTTTTACATTGCCATACTAAGAAAAAAATTAATAAAAGCCATAAAATTACGAGAATAAAGTCATAGTATTACGAGAATAAAGTCGTACGAGACTTTTTAATAACAGCTCTCGTTTATTTATTTATTTTTTCCACAAGTCGGCTCCACGACGTGACCTGTAAATCAATCCAGTAGGCGTGATAACAAATGACCAATCCGAAGCTAAGTGCTCCTATAAATGAGTCGTTGGGTCTCTTCAGCCTCTTTCTGGTATATTTTTATATACTGAAGACCGCTAACAGCACTGCATGCGCACAGTTTCGTTCACTGAGCGCCGTTTTCAAACGGACACAAAAATGAAAGTCATGACGCAATGACGTCACGTATATGCATCCCAGAAAGAGCATACAAAAACACAACAGTAGGTGGCAGTATTGGAACACGTTTTGAATAAGAGCATCAATAACAATAAAGTTTAACAAACATTTTTCATTTTACCACAGTTAAAATGCCATAAACCATGCTTAATTGTGTCAAAGTTCGGATATTATTACGACTCACTTAGCTTCGGATTGGTCATTTGCTGACATGCCTACTGGACTGACAGGTCATGTCATGAATCTGACTTGTGGAAGAAAATCTTTTTTCGACAGCTGTCAAAAAAGTTTCATATGATTTTATTCTCATAATATTAAGACTATTCGACTTTATTCTCGTAATACTACGACTTTATTCTCGGAAATTTATGGCTTTTAATTATTGTAGTTTTAGCATGGCTCTAAAGCTCCATCGTACCCGCCTGTGTGGGTTCTCGTGTGTTTTAGAGCAGACTGAAGTCTAAATTAGTGACTTCAGACATTGCAGAGGCGTGCTTTATTCCTGTGGATTTTTCTGTGTCTGTTTAAGCTAGACCTGTGGCTATATCTCTGTCCACAAAGCTCACATTCAAAGGGTTTATGTCCTGTGTGGACTCTAATGTGAGTGTTTAAGGATGACTTCTGACTAAATCTTTGTCCACAACACTCACATTCAAAGGGTTTCTGTCCAGTGTGGAGATTCATGTGTGAGTTTAAAGATGGCTTTCGACTAAATCTTTGTCCACAAAGCTCACATTCAAATGGTTTCTGTCCTGTGTGGACTCTCATGTGTGTTTTTAAATAGGATTTGTGGCGAAATCTATGTCCACAGTGTTCACATTCAAATGGTTTATGTCCTGTGTGGCGATGCATGTGTACTTTTAAACTGGACTTCTGACTAAACCTTTGTCCACAAAGCTCACATTCAAAGGGCTTCTGTCCTGTGTGGACTCTAATGTGCGAGTTTAAACTTGACTTCTGAGTAAATCTTTGTCCACAAAGCTCACACTCAAATGGTTTCTGTCCTGTATGGACTCGCATGTGTGTCTTTAAATGTGATTTCTCGCTAAATTTGTGTTCACAAAGCTCACATTCAAAGCATTTCTGTCTGGTGTGGAGATTAACGTGCGAGTTTAAACATGACTTCCGACTAAATCTTTGTCCACAAAGCTCACATTCAAATGGTTTCTGTCCTGTATGGATTCTAATGTGTGTTTTTAAATTGGATTTCTGTCTAAATTTTTGCCCACAAAGCTCACATTCGAAGGGTTTCTGTCCGGTGTGGAGATTCATGTGTAAGTTTAAACATGACTTTCGACTAAATCTTTGTCCACAAAGGTCACATTCAAATGGTTTTTGTCCCGTGTGGCGATTCATGTGTGTTTTTAAATGGGACTTCTGGCGAAATCTATGTCCACAAATCTCACATTTAAATGGTTTCTGTCCTGTGTGGCGATGTATGTGTGAGTTTAAACATGACTTATGACTAAATCTTTGTCCACAAAGCTCACATTCAAATGGTTTTTGTCCTGTGTGGACTCTCGTGTGTGTTTCTAAATTGGACTTCTGGCTAAATATTCGTCCACAAACCTCACATTTATATGGTTTATGTCCTGTGTGGACACTCTTGCGTGTGTTTATGCTTGACTTAATATGTGTAAATGTTTGTACACAAATCTCACTTTGTAACTGTTTCTCTCCTGTGTGGACTTGCATGTGTTTCTTTAAATGTTCTTTCCTGTGACCTAAACAACTTGAACGTCTTACTGTTGAATGACAAGTCAAGTGTCTCTGAAGAGACTGGTTGTGCAGAAATTGTTTACCACACTCAGAGCAGCTGAAACATTTGTTGACAGAGTTTACAGCTGACTCGGGAGACCTGCTGTCCCTCCAGTCTTTGTCACTGTCTTCAGTTGTTGACCCAGAGTCTGACAAGTTTTCCAGCTGAGAGTGAAGATTGTTCCCATCCTCGTCCTCTTCATCCTCCTCACTGGCTTCAGTCTCTGAAGAGCTGGAAGCATCTCCATGAAGATTTAGATCTGAGTTCCTGCTGGTTTCTGCTCTGCCACAGTCCTCTCTATCATATTCTACTTTCATCTGGTCAGCTGAGCTGCTGGTTGGAACATCTCTGTTCTCCATTTGGTACTGATGAAGCTTTGGGAACAGAGGCTTCTCTTCATCATCCTCAGTGTTCACATGAACCGTAGTGAATGAAAACCTGCTGACATCAGTCTCCTCCTTCACAATGAGCTGATCTCCTTCTAATCTGGTCCAGAGTTCCTCCTCTTCCTCCTTTATATGGAGATGCTCTGCATCCGGCTGATGAAAATGTGAGAACAGAGGCTTCTCATTATCTTCACTCTTCACATGAACTGCAGTGAATGAAAACCTGCTGGCATCAGTCTCCTCCTTCACACTGAGCTGCTCTCCCTCCAATCTGGTCCAGAGTTCCTCCTTTTCCTCCTTTATGTGGAGGTGTTCTGGGTCCTGCTGGTCCACATCAGGCCTCCATTCCTCAGGAGCATCTGCTCTGATCATTAGAGTCTGCTGAAAATCTGCAGGAATCACTGAAACACAGACAATATGGACTGAATATAACTTTATATCACTCATACACCACTTGTGTTGTTGATTAATGTTCTGTGGATCAGAACTGTTCCAAGTCAAAGGAACAAAATTTTATTCAGTAAAAGACAAACAAATGTCTGTTTATCATCCTTCTATACATCACGTCAGCCAGCTCTCTATCTTTGCCCATCACTGTCCCAATATTTAGAGTTGCTATTATTTCCTTGTTCCCATGTCTGTCAATCTAAAGAAGTGTTTAGAGAAGTTTTTGATTCCTTACTGTCCAAGAATTCATTGTTTCAATTCTAAAAAATGAAGTTTTTGTCCTTTCCTATTTGTCAGCAAAAGGGCTTGTTGCTAAAATTGTAAAATGTCTGCCATTCAAAAGTATTTTGATTTGATTTGGGGGTAAAAAAATGCTCTGCATTTCATTTTTCAACCACTGCTATCAGCGGCTGGAACAAAATCTTTCACTGTTACACAAATTGACTGAAGAACAGCTTCTTCACCAGAGCTGTGGCTGCTCTGAACAAACAAACACTAACCAATATTTGTCACGTCGGTTAAAGTGCAATTCCAACCTTCCCATTCCCCAAACTCAGTCTCTCACAGAAAATTGTCTCATTATGTGTTAATATAAACAGTTCAAATTTTCACCCCTTAAATGCTGTGAACCAGCCACAGTTGTATATTATATCCAGCAGAGGGCGAATGCGGACTACTTTCAAGTCATGGCCATTCACTTTAAATTTCACTTTCACCACAGCCGAAGCAGAGAACAATACTGTATTTAGCTGAACAGCAAATTCATTGTAAAGGATCTATAAAATTAAAAGAATAAATAAAATAAAAATCAACAATAATAAATTCTCTTCAATCCTCCAACCTGATTGTCATTAGCTATGCACCTCTCAAGGGGCGCATGCGCATGCAGCGACCAGTAGTGGATGAGAGTACGTAGCGTGGTGTGTTTTTTGGTTTTATTAATTTTATGTTATAATCAATTTGTTTTGTTTCAATCGCGTGATTAGCATATCTCAAAATCTAAAGAAACTTGAGTATCAAGGCTCCAGCATTTTCAAACAAAGATGGACTTTCTTTCACTTTTTGGGCTGTGGCTCCTGGTGAACAAGCTGGTGAATTACCTGTGTGCCGGCGAATCTACGAGTATTGTTCGTGAGGTCAGGATCCAGTACTCAAGAGACACACTTTTTCAGCTAAATGTTGCCACCTTAGCTCAAGTGTCAGACCTCAACCCACAAATACCGCCGGATCTCATTCAGAGAAATTTTAACAGAACAAGGTTTAATAAAGGTGCGAGTAAAAGAAAGCAGGGAAGATGGGCGGGGCTCAGACTTCGGCTGAGAAGACAACGCGTTGAGCGCATCCCTCTTCCTTCTCTCATCTTGGCAAGTGTGTGGTCCCTCAGGAATAAACTCAAACTTCAAGGCTGTGTCCGCTACAAAAAGGATTTTAAAGACTGCTGCGTTATGGCTCTCAGTGAAACGTGGCTCACTGAGCGGGACTTGGACTCGGCTCTGTCCATAGACGGCTTCGGGGCTCCACTGCGACTGGACCGACAGGCAGAGGCAACAGGGAAAACTCAGGGAGGAGGAGTTTGTCTGTATGTTAACAGACGTTACTGTACTGCTGTGACAATTAGAGATTGTATTTGCACGCCTCACGTTGAACTTTTATCAGTGTCTCTACGGCCTTTTTATCTACCCCGTGAGTTCCCCAAATCTTTGTCACAATCGTGTACATTCATCCGAAGGCAGACCCTACCTCTGCATCCAATACAATTTTTGATATTATGCAGAAGCAGCAGTCCATCTCACCTGACGCACCAAACTTTGTTTTAAGTGATTTTAATCACGTTTCTCTTAAAAAAAAGTTGAGAAATTTTTATCAGTACATTTCCTGCACAACACGATTGGATAAGACACTGGATTTATGCTACGGTTCAGTGAAGGATGCTTTTAAAGCTGTCCAGCTCCCTCCATTGGGATCTGCTGACCACAACTGCATAAACCTGCTGCCCATTTACAAAACTGTTCTGAAGAGAGAGATAAACCTGAGATCAAGGACATAAAAGTCTGGACAGAGGAATCTGTCCTCTCTCTGCAGGAATGTTTTAGGTGTATGGACTGGGACCTTTTTAAACAATCTTGTGGTGTTGATTTAGGGTGCATTCACACTAGCCCTGTTTAGTCCGCTTTAATCGAACTCTAGCTCGTTTTCCTAGAAAGTCCGATTCGTTTGGGGAGGTGTGAACGCGCCATCGAACTCTGTCACGGAACAAAAAGGCGAACTCTGGCCCAGGCTAAAACCTAGGTCTCGGTCCGGTAGAAGCGAACTCCAGCGCGGTTCGAGTACAGTGTGAACGTAAACAGACCGAGCCCCGCTCCGCAGGGTAAACAAACACGCATTTTTCTGACCTTATATGGAGCCGCTAGCTGCCTTGTGTGGCAAAACAATATTCTCCATGGTCTTCTGTCTAATCTTCTGCTCATGCTAAGTCCATTTTTTGGTCCTACTGCTGTTATTGAAATGAACAAACTGAACTGACACCGGTGTTCTCAGTGTTTTAAAATATTTTTATCTAATGATAAACTAACATTTAATATATTTTTATACTAGTTGGGTTTCAAAGTTTTACTCTCCTCTTTTATGTCCTACTTTGCTTTGAATATGATTGTGGAGCCTTGAGCACTATTATTTGTAAATGGTTTATTTGAGGTGTTCTTACTTTTAACATTGTGTGTACGCATGGATGTATGCTTATGCTCTGTACCACTGCAAGCCAAATCTACCCTTGGGTATAAATAAAGTAACCTAACCTAACCTCAAGTTAGCAAGCTACTGGATAACCTAGCATATGCCATTGCCTTGTAAAAGTTTAGCCAGAACAATAAATGTTACATAGAGGTAAAATATAGGGATGGGGAAGATCCGATTAGGTATCAGTATTGGGTTCCGATACCAGCGTAATTACGTTTTGGATTTTCCAATCCAACATGCAGAGATTTCCGATCCATGATGCATGTCTGTGCCTGATGAAATGTCTCCACATTTGATTCCCTGCCAGCTGCTCTTCAAGTTGGCTTCAAACTATGGAATGGCTTTCTTGAACAGAGACTTGTCTCATGAAACCCAGAGTAATAAGACCCGCCTCACATTCAGGAAATCCATTTCATAGTTTGCAGCCATTTTAAACATGAGTAAATGCATGAGGACTGAGCAGCACTGTGGCTAACGGCTAAGCAACGTTTCATCGCAACATGTCCACTGTGTGGAAGTATTTTACACTAAAAACACCACAAGACAGCAACGTGCAGTGTCTGCAGAGCCGCTGTACTGAGAGGGGGAAGCTCCGTCACAACCTTCAATACAACAAACTTAATCAAACGTTTGAAAAAGCACCACATTAAAGAGCACGAGTAGTGTTTAGCCAGGCGGGAGAAAGATAAAAGGAGCCGGCAGACATCACTTCTGGAGTCGTTCCAACAGCAAGGTAAACTTCTGCTGGACAACGTGAAAGCTAAAGGGATTACTGAGAATTTGCTAAACTTCATCATAATTAATGACCAACTGCTCTCAGTTATAGAAAATGAAGGATTGAACAGCTTGTTTGAATACTTGCAGCCAAGATATAGTTTACCCTCCAGGAGATATTTATCAGTACAACAGTAGACAATCATAAAAAGCATTGAAAAAAAAAAGTTATATAAAAAAGTTACATTATAAAGCGATGTAAAATACTAAAAACAGGAACATGTCTGTGTTGGTTTTTGCCATGAACTTAGCAGATGTTTGAAGCCATTTAATCACTTTAATATCCATTTTAAAGCTAGGAATAAAAAACATGTTTTGTGTTAGCAGGATTTAATTCTAACGTTGAAACTTAGCCAACATTAATAAAACTTACCTCAAGTTGCCTTTTTGGACAAGCATGCATATATTTGTACAAGTTGTACTTGCCTGTAGAGAGGAGATTACAGCCTCATATAAAATCAATAATGATGATGATATCGGAATAGTATCGGTATTGGCCAATATACAGATTTAAGTATCGGGAATCGAATCAGAAGTTAAAAAATAAAAGTTAATCAGTGCACCTCTAGTAAAATATATCAGCATTACTGTAATTTCCGATCTACAGCGCTCACCTGAATATAAGCCGCACCTATTAAATTTAAAAAAATTGTACATACATAGGCCGCATTTGTCTATAAGTCGTGGTTGTCCACTTTGTAACATGAGATATTTACACAGAATTTTTTTAAACACACGTCTGTCTGAGCTGCTGTTTGTAACAACAGATTTTGAACTGGGGGGTGGGGGGTGGCAGACGAACTCACGTCTGAGCTGTGCGCTGTTTGTACTGGCATGAGGGAAGAGATTGCTTTTTTTTAGGGGGGGGGGGGGGGTTTGGTTCTGTAGGCGAGACGCTCAGTTCTGTTGACGGGGCGGGGCGCACTGCTTATATAATGGTAGGGGAAACATTGGCATTGTATAAGCCGCAGTGTTCAAAGAGTATAAAAAAAATGTAGAGGTTCATAGTACGGAAATTACGGTAATAACGTTATCTTTGTTGTACTCGATAAAATACATTGTTTGTATAAAATCTTTACTTTACAGTAAAGAAAAGGAAACACTACCTAGGGCTGTTGTAAACTATAATTTTAGTAATCGAGTAATCTACAGATTATTCTGGTGATTAATCGAACAATCGAAAACAAAATCTGTCAAGTTCTGCAGTAATTACTCATTTTATGATTAATAAAAATACACAAAAAAGAACATTTAAGTAAACAACCCATTTAATTCCTCTTTTTAAAATGCTTTTTCGCTTAAAATGCAATAACATGGTGAACCTCCATTTCAGTTTAAAATGTGTGGTATAGCAAAACTCTTGCTTTTTCTAAAATGCAAAAACAGAAGAGAAATAAATAAATTTGGATTGAAGGTGGAGATGATCTTCTGGAACCTTTCATCT